GTCTTGGTAATGCACACCAAATGTACAAACAGGGACACCATCTATGCGCAACACAGCACTGTTAATACTGTTAATATGTTCTTGTTAATACTGTTAATACTGTTCTTGTTAATACTGTTAATACTGTTCTTGTTAATACTGTTAATATGTTCACTGTTAATATGGAATCAGCCTCTCTGAGAGCTACCACAGAGTTCGAGAGACCTGACTACCAGCCGGCGTCAGAACCATAAAACTGAGTTTTAGAGCTATACCCTTATTTGGAGGTAATAGAATGTGTTGCCTAGTCATAAAAACAGAGACACAAGCAAAACCTGTGCATTGAGTCAAGAAGATCCAGCATTCAACATACTAAACTGGAAAAAATGTATTAAAAATACATCTGCGCCAACCTAATAGATGAAGAAGGGGTGCGAGGCTGGTCAACAGATAGAATCTGTTTACCCCTTAAGTCTTTGCCTAGAAGGCCTTCTACAAGACAGCAGCCAGATGCATTTAACATCTGCCCAAGATGAGTATTTTTATCGAGACGCCATCTCTAGCCTTTACTTAACCAAGAGCCCCAATGCAGGGGGTGTTTTATGTCGGAGTTGGCATCTCCTAGCCTTTGCCATCATCTTGAACAGTAAAATACTCAAAATTGCCCTAATTTGCTGCTGCGTAACATTTTTCAATGGCATGTTCACGAGTTTTATATGGACCATCCAAAATAGCAACTACACCTTTTAAGGTTGCAACAGCTCTGTCAGTTGAGTCTTTCCAGCAGCCAGCATGATAATGATGATGGTGTTGAGTACAAACTTGGCAAAATAACAGTAGAACTTTCCTCGGCGTGTTAATCTCATCAGACATTAAATGGCATCATCAAGTTAACGCATCAGTAGAAATAGCGCAGAATTTACTCAGAGTCATCAAGCGCACCTTCATTCATTTAAATACAGAAATGATTCGTACTCTGTACACAGTTCAAGCTAGACCTCACCTTGAGTTTGCAATCTCTGTATGGAATCCTACTTTGAAAGGTGACATTGAAACACTAGAATAAGTCCGACGTTGTGCAACCAAACTGGTATAAATTCTCAAACATCTGAATTTTTAGATAGTCCTTCCAAATCCAAATTAACTACATTGTGGACTAGGCGTTTGCGCCGCAATCTAATACAATAGTACAAATTATTAAACAATATAGATCATATTACATGGCTTAAACCACAACAATTTGCACTATCATTACAAGCAAACGGACCAGCATCAGCAATAAGAGGTCATAATCTAAGAATTGAAAAAGAAAATGTCAAGCATTCTTCATTTCGACAAGCATTTTTTAGCATTTGGTATTTATGAATAAATGGAATGCATTACTGATTAATGTAGTGAATACGCAGTTTTTAAACTCTTTTAAAGCAAGTCCAGATATACAATTTTTATTATAAATTTTTTTGAAATTTATTTAACTTTAATTTTTTTTATATATAATTTTGATTTTTAATAAATTGTAAATTATTACAAATAAAATAAAGAGTAGTGTAGGCTGTCATAACGCGTATATAACCATATATGCGTTTCTTTAATTTGCTACATCATCTATATTACTATATATATATATATATATATGTATATATATATATATATATATATATATATATATATATATATATATATATATATATATATATATATATATATATATATATATATATATATATAGAGAGAGAGAGAGAGAGAGAGAGAGAGAGAGAGAGAGAGAGAGAGAGAGAGAGAGAGAGTGAGAGAGAGAGAGAGATAGATAGATATATATATATATATATATCAGTTTCGAAAATCAAATGCGAGCGGTCAATTCGACCGGCTAACACATGGAGTCAATGGTCATTTTTTTATTTTGCGCAGTCAAAACTTTTATTTTTTTCTTTGTTTAAATTTTTATCTTAGTTCTTCTGAACTATTACTCATAAAAAGTTTTATGAAAAAAACAAAAAGCTTTATGAATACATTTTTATGAATACAAAAGACTAGAAATGGAAAAATTAAAAAAAAAAAAAAAAAAAAAAAACTTTATGAAAAAATACTTTAAGAATATGAACGTTATGATTAGAAAAACAATTTAATGCTTGAAAGTTAAGGAATTCGTATTTCTTTTAAAATAATAATAATATAACACAAAAATTTCAAAAAATAATATAATAAGAGCTTAAAAGTTAATGACTTTGAAGAAGAAAATGATTTTACATTTTATTATAAAATGCTATAAAGTCACCTGCAATACGGGTTATAATATGTTTTAGTAAATGTGACCATGCTAAATACACCAATTAATCACGTAACTAAGGTAGGCGTTAACTAAAAAAAGGTAGGCGTTAACCAAAATTTTTGAAAAGTATCGAAAAACAATTTTTTATTCATTTGTAAAGAGAAATTTCAGTGCTTTTAAAAAATATATTCTTTTATATATATATTTTTTCCAATATTTTTCGATAAATTTGCCCCTATTCAAATTATTTACCTTAGCAATGCCCTTAGCAACCATAATTTCAGCTTTGTAATAGAACATTATGTTCTAAAATTTTAAGTCTAAAAATGTTTTGCATCAAACTAAAAACCTATATTTAATCAAACCTTATCAAAAAAAATTAATTATTATAACATTTGTTGTAGTTTAACATTAAAATGTAATATTTTTATTTTAAAATGTAAAACCAATATGTAAATTTTGTAAGCTGAGAACCATTTTTCATTTTTATCTTTGAGAAAAGATATCTTGTTATATCTTTTTCAGAACATAATGAAATTTTATCAGAATATTTTAAGGGTCAAATAGATTGATTTGAGCAAATCATTTTAAATTAACTTGACTCCTTGGTCTAGTTTCCATGATAAACAGTTTTTCTATGTTACCATAGAAACTGTTATCATAAACTAAAATCTCTCGTTTAAATTAATCGTTTTTCTGTGGTTGTCATGTTAGTTCGAAAAGATTTTAAAATTTAAAATCTTTTATTGAGATTTTGTTGATTTGGTTTCCATAGTAACAGTACCTGAAGCAGTTTATAATTTTTTATAATTTTTATGCAAATTACTTACCATAGAGTTCTTTTACATCCTTGGTACATAATTTCAGTTCTGTTTAAAGGATTTAATGGTTTAGCATTATTTTTTTGCAAAAATGTTTTTTGTACATTAAACTTTTTGTTGTACTATTACTGCATGTGTTTATTTTGTGCCAAATTTTTGTCACCAGGGGTTATATATATATATATATATATATATATATATATATATATATATATATATATATATATATATATATATATATATATATATATATATATATATATATATATATATATATATATATATATATATATTCATAAACAAGACAAATTTTCTAATTTTTAAAAACAATTTTTTAATAAAAAAAGTCATCTTCAATTAAAATTTAATATTAAAAATTTGTTAAAATACCTAAAAAGGTGTGGAGAAAAAAACAATACAAAATATAAATATTCTTGTACAAACTATTAATAATATAATTATAAAAATACAATAAAATCAGTTAAAGATCATGTTGTTCAAAATAAATAGGAAATAACAAAAGAATAGGTTAAAAAGATATGCAATATGTATAAAATATAGCAGCTAAACAGAAAGTGTCATTTGTACATGGTTAACCTGTTTATTCATACCAGATTTTAACCATTCTATTAACATACTTTCTTTAACTTTTAATAATAATTATATTTTGTATTGTTGTTTTTTTCACACCTTTAGGTATGAAAATAGGTATTTTAACAAATTTTAAATATTTAATTTTAATATATATATATATATATATATATATATTCATAAACAAGACAAATTTTCTAATTTTTAAAAACAATTTTTTAATAAAAAAAGTCATCTTCAATTAAAATTTAATATTAAAAATTTGTTAAAATACCTAAAAAGGTGTGGAGAAAAAAACAATACAAAATATAAATATTCTTGTACAAACTATTAATAATATAATTATAAAAATACAATAAAATCAGTTAAAGATCATGTTGTTCAAAATAAATAGGAAATAACAAAAGAATAGGTTAAAAAGATATGCAATATGTATAAAATATAGCAGCTAAACAGAAAGTGTCATTTGTACATGGTTAACCTGTTTATTCATACCAGATTTTAACCATTCTATTAACATACTTTCTTTAACTTTTAATAATAATTATATTTTGTATTGTTGTTTTTTTCACACCTTTAGGTATGAAAATAGGTATTTTAACAAATTTTAAATATTTAATTTTAACTGAAGATGACTAGTGATAGTTAAAACATGCATTGTTTTTTTTTATTAAAAAAATGGTTTAAAAATTAGAAAATCTGTCTTGTTTATGAAAATATTTTCATTTTTGGTGCTTAAAAGAAATTTTGGATATATATATATATATATATATATATATATATATATATATATATATATATATATATATATATATATATATATATATATATATATATATATATGTACGTAACTTGAAATTTTTTCATATATATCTTCTCTGTTTGGCCAGCACTCAAGCTTTTTCGTGCTCATTTACATGCTGGTAAAAACTTTTTGTGAGCGCATAAAAAGTGCAGAAAGAAAAATTTTTTTTTTTTTTTGCTGTTTTGTTTTAATTATTTTAATTTAGTACTTAAATAAAATATTTGTTTTGATGTTTTTGATAATGCTCAGAACCACTATTGCATTTTACGGTAGTACTGTAGTTTTATAGTTTTACAGTTTTAAATGTTAATTGTTTATTAAGAGTTTAAATTAATTTTTTTTTGCCCTTTTAATTTTACTTATTTAATTTTTAAATTTTAAAATTAAATAAGTAAAATTTAATTTTATTTATAATGTTTTGTTTTTAAAATGATTTATTTGTATTTGTTATAATTATTTTAATATTAGTGATAATTGTAATTATTATTTAAAAATTCTAATATTTACAAAGGTCTTTTTTTTTTAATTGCAGGATGATACTATTGCGCTTCATCTTTATGTTCAAAACTACTCAAACACCATTATTCTGCTTTTTATGAACGCTCAAGTAATATATGGAAAAAAAGAGATTACAAAATTAGTGAGTTTTTTTTTTTTTTTAATCTTTATATAGCCACCAACTTATTGTCATTTTTTTTACATGAATTTAGACAAAGTTTATCATTTTTTTTTGCAGATATGATATATATAAATGTATATAAATATATACATGCATATGTGTATATATATATATGTATATATATATATATATATATATATATATATATATATATATATATATATATATATATGTATATATATATATATATATATATATATATATATATATATATATATATATATATATGTATATATATATATATATATATATATATATATATATATATATATATATATATATATATATATATATATTATTCAGTCCTAATAGCCTTATTATTTACTTGATGTATTCAATAAATCTTAGGACTAATAATATTATTATTTTAGTGGGAATTATCTCTACCATGTTTGAAGGATATTGAAGCTCAATTGAAGTCTTTAGTTTCACCACAAAAACTTCAAAATGCAGTAGGAATATTTTTCTATATTTTATATTTGTTTTATGTTTTATTATTTCTACCAAGTTTAAAATTGGTTAATATACACCTATTCAAGTTAAGTTCATTACTAATTATGCGTAAGGGAAATTTTTTTTATGGTCACAGCCGTTTAGTGATAATAGAGTTAAGATAAATGTAATTTTGCTATAATTCAAGAGCAAATTCTACTATGTCCCTGGTAGTATTCCCTTAACACTGTTCTCCATGTAGCATCACTGTCAAACATGTTCTTCATAGTTGTAGGGTTATCCACATATGTTGCAAGTTTTTTTGCTTTTTTTTTGCTCAACCTTTTTTTTTAAATTTTGTTGTATATGAGAAGTCATTTTTTATTTTGCAATTTTCTCTTAATTATATAACCTTTTTAATCAGGATAGCAATTTTTAAGACAATACTAATAAATATTTGATATTTGTGCTATATCAACTAAATTTTGAAGAAATACTAATATGAGGTTTAGGTTTCTTTGAAGGTTGTTTTTTTTTTAATTTCTTAAATTTTTTAAATGTATTGATGTTTTCCCTTTAACTTAGAATCATGAAACAACCACAAGTATAGCAAAAGGAGTCAGGGTTGTTTATACATTTATGACATAAGGAAGTAGGAGCAATAAAGTGATATATATACAATGACATAAGGAAGTAGGTGATCTGAAATAAAGTGATATATTTATATAGCTATGATAGTATGTAAAACACGATGAAATAGTTATAAGCTTAGAAAACGGAACAAAAAACAGCATATAGTTAAATAAAACTTGAATATATTGTTTTTACTGACCAATTGAAAGCTGTAAACACCACTTGACACGGTTTTTTGAGTTGTAATTACCAATCAGAATAATTGAAAACAAGCTTTTCTGCAGCTAAAGATTGGAATTTTATTTATCTGTAGGACAAGCTGTGCAGAAAAATCTTGACATGCTGAAAATAAAAAAAAAACTTGACATGCTGGAAAAAAACTGATCAGCGGACCAGCAGGAACCAATGTTAGTTAAAATCAGCATAAAAATCAAAGTCAACAGAAAAAAGTTCCAATTTCATTCTTACTGTAATCAAGTTGCAAAGTATGTTTATTATACAATCATTCAGTTTTTGCAAATTTGATTTTAAGCAATACATTGGTTAAATGAAATCAAATCACGAAGATCACTAGCTGTTTTAACATTTTTTTTTTTTTTCTTTATTTGAACAACCATAAGATTGCTTATTGACAATAAGTAAAAATATAAAAAGATACAGTCAAGTTTAAAATTTAGGAGTAAATGGCTTTTCATTTTATTAAATCATTGTACAGTGAAAATTATTGAATAGTGGCTCAAAACATATTTTTTATTTTTAAACTACTTTGTATTAATTGGATTAAAAAGTTTAAAACAAACAAAAGTTGAAAACAAAACGTAAAATTAAATTCACTATGGTTTTTTGATGTCAATCCTTTTTAGCACAAAATTCGGTGCTGACCCAATTTTATCAACTTACTTAGGACGTGTTATTTGAACAGATTTTGTTTTTAATAGTTTTTTAAGTTATTTTCACATTATAATATTATAAAGGTCTATTTGATTATTTGTAAGTTAGTTATTGAATTTTAATACAAATATTAAAATATTAGATTTTAAATTAACAATTACACTTTTTATTGATTTTAAAATAATTTTGTTTATTTTTTAATTTTGTTATATTGTTTTTATTTGTTTATTAATGTCATAAATTAGTTTATATATAAGTGTTAGAGAGTATGTTATTATTGTTTTCTTTTATTAAATATTGTAGAGAGACAAGTATGAAAGTCATTTAAGTTATCAGAAAATAGGTCTATGTAAAAGTAAGTTAAATTACAGTTAATTTCAATTTATCTTTCATGTTTTTGTTTATGTTCATTTACTTTTAATATAAACTTTTTACTATTGTAATTTAATAGATAACCTGAAGAAAATGGATAATGAGGAAGAGTTAATTAATACTATCAATACAATACATCAGCAATTTAAAAGCTCACCAGGAACAACAGATATTTTTTTAAGGTTTGTTTTATCCTGCGGAGAACACCTGGACATAAATGTCCAGCTTTTCTTCTGATATTTATCAAGTTTTTAAATATTAAAAATTTTTAAATGATGGATCAAACTTTCTTATCACTTATCTCAAGAAGTAAATGTAAGTTTGTAAGAAATTTTTAACATATTATCATTTGATTTTTTTTAACTGTATAGAAAATGAACATTTGTTTTAAAACTTGCATGCATGCATGAGTTAGTTTCTTAGCGAATTTACTTTTAAGTTAGAAAGAAAAAAAGTTTTATATTAAGCTGCAATTGGATTTGCCATAAAATGCAAAAGTCAGTCAATAAGACATAAATTAAGTTAAGCATTCCAAAAAGACCTTTGCTATTTGGATCAATGAGCATGAAGTCCATAACGATCTTTAAACTCCAGTTTCAGCAACAACACTTGCAAAACATCAAGATTGTGTGGCAACACATCAACAGCAATTTGCATTTTTCTTTACATTGACTTAAAAAAAGGATATAATAACCAAAAGAGACTAATTAAATATATTTTTATTATTGCTTGTTTTTATTTCATTGCCACTCAACCTGTTGTAACTGTACTTGTTGAAACTCTGTTGCAACTTTTTCTATTGCAAATTGCTGCCCTCATAACTTATAACATTATAACATGCCCTCGTAACTTATAACATTATAATGCCCTCATAACTTATAACATTATAACAACTTATAACATAACTGCCCTCATAACACCTCATAACTTAATTTATAAACATATGATTTCCATAACAATTTATATTTTAGTCAACTAGCTAAGTTTAACTAAATAGTTAAAGTTTTAGTTCAGTTTTACTTCTCATTTTTATTACTCAATACCTTAAAAAAATTAGAGATATAAAAATTCACAAAAGATTCTGTTATATTATATATTAAATGCATATATTTTTTACTTTCATATATATATATATTTTTTTTTAATTTTTTTTTTCTTGGACAAAATTAAGATTACTATTAAGATAAATTTAAAAACTATCAAAAAATTTTTATTCAAAAAATTTTCACAGGAAGTTTATTAAGTACTAATGGAATAAATTGCAAATATAAAATTTGATTTTTACTTGAATGCAGAAAAAAAAAAAAAAATTAATAACTCAATAGATTTAAATGAGCAATTTCATGCTAAGTGTTAATGGGTTTTTAATTGAGGAGACAAAAGTTTACAGTATTTACATTTTGAAAATTAAAAGTATACTATAATATTGCAATAACCTAGCTGTATTATAAAAAATAATAATATTGCAATAACCTAGCTGTATTATAAAAAATAATAATATTGCAATAACCTAGCTGTATTATAAAAAATAATAATATTGCAAATACCTAGCTGTATTATAAAAAAGTAAACTTTTAACATGAAAATTAAAGCATTATTTGTGTCAAAAAAAAAAAAAAAAAATTTCTGAGCTTTTTAACGAAGGATTTTTTTTACATTTAAAACATAGTCACTAATTGCATTGTAAGTTTAGTGAAATATTAGTCAGCAATAATGTTAATATAAAAATAGTTTGTAATTCAAATATTCGAAAAGTACTGTCTACTTGGACAAATTAAAATTACTTGAAAACTGGCAGGTTTCAGTAATTAATTGATTTCTGAGAGAAACATGGTGTAAAAGTTTAAATCTTTGAATGGCAAGCACAAAAATTTGTGCAACAACTTTTATACCAAAAAAGGAATTTTTGACAGCCAAAAGTTTAATTTTACAATATGTAATAGCAGTTGCTTGACTTCAGTGCAAAAGATTTTGGAAATAAGTTAAGGCATTAGGAAGGTTCTTTAGAGCGATTCTAGCTTTACGTGTGTGACTCTGGTACAAATATTTTCAAATTAAAGGAGCCATAAGAAATTGTTTACTACAGATATGGAAGATATATAATGCAACTATTATACTAGGAGATGTGTCTGATATAAAATAATTTCTCTTAAAAATATGTTTATTACATATACTAGTAAAAGAACTGATTAGTTGACTTGATTAGTTTGACTTGTTTATGTTTATTAGTTTGACTTGATTAGTTTGACTTGATTATGTTTATTACATATACTAGTAAAAGAACTGATTAGTTGACTTGATTAGTTTGACGCGTACAAAACTATAAATTTGAATTTTAAACTTTGATTAAATATTTCTGCTAATTGTCTATGATTAGTTTAATGATTTTTTTTTTATGTTACAGACAGCATGTTTGTATTGAGTTGATGTTTATAAAAAATACATACAGTTGATGTTTATAAAAAATACTTTTATTTTTTCAAAATTTTAATAACTTCATAAAAATAAATGATAATCTTTAGTGTTATGCGTGTGACATATTTTGTTACGTGTGTTTGTACTGTACAACTTTTGATAATTTAATAAATTTAAAAGATTTTTTTACTTTTTTCATTTTTTTAACATAACTGAAATAAAGATTTAACTGAGTAGCACTTTTGTTATACAGTTTTTTTTTTAAGTTTCAACTTTTTAAGCTTTATTTTATCAGGGTACATAGTTTCATTGTTCTTCACAAGGCACCAATCATTAAAAGCCATTTCTGGAGATTTAGAAAATATTTTGGGAACTTGCAGGTCATTAATATAGTTTTTTTGAAAATCAGATGACTTTAAGTCACTTGTTTTGAAAAACAACTTGCATTCATTAAAAGAACTGACATGATGAATTTTTAGTATTTCTTGTGTTTTTTTGACTTTTAACTGAGATGTTTTGTTGTCTAATGATTTCATCATTGCTAATATAGAGAATATTAGTAGATGTCATAAATGGTTTGAAAACATTGAAAAAATCCATAGACGTTTATGCACACACTTTCTCATTCTTTTTCATACATTTCATTCCAGCAAAAGACTCAACTCTTCCTCCAACACTATTTCTATGTGAAGTTGCAAAGTATTTCCACTCAGATGTTTTATTTTATTGCAAAGATAATTGGTTGAGTAATTTCATCATAAACTTATTTTCAAATTTTGATGATGGGTCATTGGTGAAAAGAGTTTCAGTATCATTATTACACTTTTCAGACATAAGTATTTCATATAATTACCTAATAAAACTGTAAACACTATCTTTTCCCTTGTCTCTAGTGTCTGAACAGATAAGATATATTTTGCAATTATTGTTGTTAAAAACAGCACCAGTAAACAATATAACAGTGTTCCTACTCCACAGCGCACTTATATGCCATTTTTAGCTAATATATGCCATTGCAAAATCCACCTGAAGAACTCTTTCTTCTGCAATCCCCTTGTCTTTTTCAAATTCTGCTGCTTGAACTTTTTTTATATGAATGTGTTCTTGAAATTTAGATAAAGTAAATATTAGTTCCTCTATTACTTTTCTTATGCACCCATTTTCATCACCCATCATAAACCCATTTTTGAATTGTAATTGAAGACACCCAATATGAACTATTATAGCTAATGCCTATTGTAAGTATTTTAAGTATTAAGCGAAAGTTCTCACTTATGCAGTTTTCACTTACACTGGTCTATGGGTGTTTCTTAAAAAAAGTATGTTATCTGGCCTAAGCTTACAAAATATAAAGAAAGGCATTATGTCTCCATAGGTTGATTGATAAATAGAATAAATTTCTCTCAAAATCATTTCCAAAAAACATTTTCTCAGCTTTTTTCTCTTTAATTCTTTTTTTTCTTTATATAAATCCTTTTCTGTACTGTCTATTTTTGCAACTTTTATTTTTCACATATTCTTGATTGTTTTTATTTGTATTAAACAGTATTTTTTGTCGGCTTTTCGTTTTCCTCTAAAGTTTTTCAATCTCTCAGTTAAAGACATTTTTATTTTTATTATATATTAACCTAAACTTTAAACAAGAAACTAAAAAAGTTTACAAAGATTTTCGAATCAATAATTTCTAGAATTATTTAATTCATCTTTTTAAGCTAATTCAAACTGAAATAACTTTTAAATACTACAATGGTTGTTTTCCACATTTTTCACCGTTTTTACCACATCAAAAAAAAATTGTTTTATTTTGTTTCTAAAATACTTTTTGCTTATAATTAAAAATATTTTCAAAAAAAGCATTCTAGTTTGCTCATAAATAAAACTTTTCATTGTTTTTTGTTACGTGTGTGACATCACACACACGCTTTATAAACAGATCATAAACACTCCACATTCAGAAGAGAATGAAGCCACTAATCGTTTACTTGAAAATAAAATGCAGAAAAAATTGACAATTAGAGTCTGATTGCTGGTTTTGTTGAAATCAAATGTTGTCATTTGATTTCGAATGTTGTCACAAACATATGGTTTGAGGTTTGATACTGACTTGAGCCTAATTAGTGACATGGGAGAAGAAAGAGGCAAAAAACTTTCTGGTTAAATGCTCCTTTGTGGTGCTCTGTAATAAGACTGTGTGGTCATATTGGAGCACCTTAATAAAAGAGTTAAAAAATAAATTAAGGAAAATAAATGCGCAACAATACAAAAATTTTGTTTTGGTAAATTTCATCATTTTATTTTCTAAGCCTTGCATAGGGCAAAATGTGGCGGCATAGCTATCTCCCCTCCCCCTCCTCCACCTTCTTTTCTTCTTAATCTAACACTAAGCATTGAGTCCAATATTTTTAAAATACTGTAAGGTCAGCTAAACTATAGACTGCAGTGACGAGGATCCTGATTATTCAAAAAGAAGAAATTTCTGTCTCGAGTGACTTGCTTGGGTGGTTTGCATTGCTTTGAACACGTTTTTTTTTTTTAGTTTTTGAAAAACTCAATAATTAATCTGTTAAATTTCTACAAATTTTAATGTTAGATTTAAAAGTTGGATAAAAATTTAATAAACTTTTAGATTGGTTGTTTCTCATTGCATTTGATCTCATTGCGGTTTGATCTCTCTAAAACTATTATCTCATTCTTCTTCATCATCAGAATCCCCCTATCATCGTACCTCTTACAATTACCTTAACACTTACTGGGAGTCTTTCCGTGA